GGAAGCAATGGCTAGCTAATGTTTTCCAGGCACTTTACCATAATCACCCCAGCTTTTCAACTTGGTCTAGCTCTTCAATTCCTTTTAAATCTCAGGAAAGCAAAAAAAGTTCTAGGCAGCAAGCAGCTGAACCTTCCTGGGTTCTCATGGGTGAATGGCTGAACCTTCCTGGCTTCACAATAAAGAGAGAAGAAATCAGCCTTTGCAAATAGCCTGCTGCAGCTAAAACTAACATACAGTAACTCACAGCTCTAGTTCAAGCATCTTCCCTGAAGAAGAACTGCAAAGTCATGACAGAAGGCAGATCATAGTAAGACTTCAGAGCAGGATATCTAGGTTTTCTTTTCAATTTTACCTCAACATACATCCTCTGCCAGGCTTCCAGAATTGCTGCTGCCTTATCCTCATTCCAGTTGATGTGTGAAACATATTCATACCCCTTGAAGTGCTCATACATTTGCTTCGGAGTCATTAACTGAAACATCGTTTGCAAAGCCTGGGCACTGGAGAGACGATGGAGTGGGAAGAGGCAAAAAATATGAATTTTTAGGAAGTGATTTTCATTACAGAAAGTTCCAAATGAAAGCCTAATAGAAACTTGCATGAATTTTTAATTTTATAGGGCACACTTTCACATTAAAATTGAACAGAGTATTTATTCTGCTAGGACTGGTTTTAGGAATAGAGAATGTAATCCTAACAAATCAGTTATAAAGACCTTTAGTAGCCGACGTATTACTACGAGGAGGACATGGAACTAATTACTTCTGTGAGATGCTCTAAATGAGGTAAGTGCTTGGCAATTTGACATTTGAAGACCTGTGTCTCTATTGGAGAAAAATACTAGACTAAACTGCTAATACTTGACAAGCAGCAAAGAATAACACAAAGGTGATACTTATTCATCAAAAACTTCCAGAAGTCAACTTTAGCCAATAACTTCAGAATTTCAGAGAACTATTTTGTTTTTCAGTAAGAGTATATTCTTTGACTACAATGCTGGAAGGCACTTAGGTGAGCTTTTTCAGAATAGAGCAAAATTAATAGGAAAATAAGCTTCAAAAATTAGTGCCAATTAAAAAAAAAATCCAGAATTCATAGCAAAATTTCTGGTAAAAATATTATTATTAACCATACAAACATTATACTATTGTTAGTTCAACACAGATTTTGATTCAGCTTATACATCTAAATATTTAAAATTTTCATGTGTCTTGCATTTTCAGAACAATTCTATTTCAAAAGACTTCCCCCCACAAAGTCCAGTGTTCCATGACTTCCTCAAGAAGGCTGAAACAAAGGCTTTTGTTTCAACAGTCAAAATGGTATTCAAGTTGCAGTGACAAAGAACAGGCTTTCGTCAGTATTGATCCAAAGCAAACAGTTCAGTGGATATACTGGAATTCTGAGAGAAGTCAGGTGAGCAGGCACATTACCCAAGTTATTTTTCCCCTTTCCCTTTGATCGTATTTCAAAACATGATCAAAGTTGTTCAGTACTTTCAACACTGTTCAATGCTTTATACATATGTTCTGAATACAAAAATGCCACAAAAAAGAATTTATTTCTGAGGAAACGCTGTCATCCTTAGGTTAAAAACAGGAGACAGTAATACCTTTATAGATTGATATGACTGCCTAATCACATTTTTAACTTCCGTTCTTATCAGGGATGTTCTTCTAAACCACGGTTCATTATACGCATTATTCCCAGATTCTGAAAGGCAACAGCGTTTGCAGAATCCCCCACACCTTCTCAAAATCCTGAACAAAGAAAAGCTTTTAAGTTTTAAGCATTTGTTTGCTTACCTCACAAGTTTACCAGAACTGTTCTTGACTGTACCACCTATAATTAACTCCTCCTGCCAATGCATGTATTTTCTGGACAGTCCATAGCATCCACCACTCAAAACCAATGCCACATCAACAGGCTAGAATAAAGTTACGAAGAAGAAATTTATCAGCTGCCCAACTTCAAACAAATTCATATCCTAAATGAATGTCTACTGTACTGGTGTAACAGATACTAAAGATAGTCTAGGAAGCCTATAAAAAGAAATGTTCTCAGCAAATGGATTAGCCAAACTAGCCCAATACTTGTTCACCAGAGGGCAGTTTCTCCAAAGTCTAGTGTGACTGAGAAAGTAGCATATGAAGTTAGCGCTCACTGCTTCCAATTCTGCACAAAGGTTGGCAAAACTGGCCCTACTTGAGGGAACCCCTGCTGTACAGCATCAGTGCACAAAGGCAACTGAGCCCATAGTGGCCATGTTCCCCCGAAAGGGGCACTGAGAAGCTGAATCTTGTGTCACCACATTGCCACACCTGGCCAGCAGCACAGAACTGCAGCCTCACCTTAAAGGTGTAGGATTAAGAACTGCATCAGAGTCTGAGGGAATGTTAGTGACTCTGGGCGAATGTCACATAATAGCAGTAGAATAAGGAAATCACTGAGATATATGAAATATATTTTGTTTGGAAGGAAAGAGCACCATTTTCTCTCTCCCCCCGCCTCATCGGGCTCCCTTGAGCAAGATCTATGCAAAGAAAAGCAAACTTACTTTGGTGGAATTTTTGTTGGGAGCCGTGATTGGACAATCAGGATCAGCAGGATTCAGGCAAGGTCGATCCATATAACCATGACCAACCTCTGCTTTATTCAGCATTTCTTCCCAGCTATCCACTTGGTAGTTTATTTTCTTTAACTCTTCCAGGAATTCTAAGGGGTCAAAGTTGATCCACTGCAAAGGAGGTTTCCCTCTGCAAAGGAAATCAGGGCAAATGACAATGAAAAAAAAAAAAAAGTACCAAAACAATTTCTAATTCATATTCACGCAAAATGACTGTGTTGTTTTCTATTACAAACTCTTTCTGGTGAGGTTTGGTTTGTTCATAAAATGAAATGCATGCTTTAATTATATTCATGAATGTATACTTTTCTTTTAGACCCATTAATTTCAACAAAAACTCTCAGTAATTACAGACAAGTTACTCTATGAAAGGGAATATTCACATGCTAAAAATACTTCCATTTACAAACAAAGTAAAACAAACCACCAAGCACCTAAACAGCAAAAAAGCAGCCAACTGCTGCTTTAAAGAATTTGGGGGGAGGGGAGAGAGAAAGGACAGAGGGAGCTGAGGAAGGAAAGCCTTTCACATAGTATCAGATTACTGCTTGCTAGTCTAATAATCATCTTGCAAATGTAATCAATCAATATAGCTGATCTTTGTTTATCCATAACAATACTGTGCTCCTTCAAGCGCTTTGGCAGCATGACTATCAGCCATCCAGCTTTGCTGCTACCATGGCTGTCACCACTATCACTCTCACATCTCCCACCCCCACTTTTGAATTTGTGATGTTGACAGCCCAGAAAGGCTTTTGGCTGCCTTGTTCTGTGGTTCAAACCACACTGTATCTGCTTAACCAGGCTTAAGTCATTATTCGGAACCTCCCAACCAGAAAACACAAACCCCTTTATTTCCCCATCTAAAACTGTACACTGAAGGTTAGGAGATGGCCATTGCAAATTGCTTTTACAGAGACATGCAAGCCAGGACAGAAACAATAACTCAAGTGCTAACTCTAGCATAATTAACGGAAAACGCCTGCACAGATTAGCAATTAACTCTTTGCAGGATTCAGTGCATATAATATCACACTTTTAAATCGTGAGAAACTGCTCATAAAAGATACTATATTTCGTTTCTTTAACAATCTCATGAACAAAATATTTTCCTTTCAATTCCTTAGGAAGACTTCAGATTTTACCCAAGACAGCTACGCTTTCATTGAACTAAAATGACTTTCCAGCCAATTAATGCTTTGCAGCTAATGAAAATAAACTTTTCTGCTTTTATTTTCAAAAGGTAAAAAAAAGGAGATTTCAGAACTTACATTTTCTTTTGCATGCCAATAGAACAATAAAAATTACAACACAGGACTTCAACTGATGCATACAAACCATCTTTTATAAACAGAATATCTTTGTTCTATTTTAAAAAATGCATATTTTCTGAAGTGACAGTTTTTAAAAATGTTTTTTGGTTAAACCAGAATCTGAATAAACAATGGAAATACAACTGAAAAACATGCATGGTTTTACAATTAAAACCAGTCAGACTATAAAGTTATAAAAACAGCACACTTACAACAAATACGCAGTTCCTGACTGTAGCTTTGCTCCCTCCCAGAAGCAGTCCAAAGGAGTGATAATTAAACAAGGATAAAGATATTCTATAATCTGTAAAAAACAGAAATGGGAGAAAAAAAAAAACAAAGTTAGACTAGAACATGATCCAATCAGCACCAGTTGAATCACGAGAATATAAAATGGTTACAACCAAGTGCCTGGTATTCCTACCTGGTCCATGTAACCTGCTTCTGTGATGAGTTCTCCTGATTTGTAACATAAGTGTTCCAATTTCCACTGTCTGCAATAAATACAAACAACGTGTTTTCTTTTATTTTTTTTTTACTTCACAAGAACTGTAAAGGTATTTTTAAAATGTGACCTAATGTAAAACAGCAAGTCATATACACAAGCAGACCTAAGTAGCAAATTACTAAGAATGGCAAGTTTTATTCAGTGCAGGTATAACACGTATCACAATGGCAAAGGCCTTTCTTTTTGTAGTTACATGCTATAAATATTTGTTGAATATGATAAACAGTCTCTGTAAAACCTATTAAAAATAACAGAGCTACTTTGGATTATCAGGCTATTCAACCCAACTGAAAGGGACAGAAAACTGGCTATACATGAGACCATTTGTGACTTAAGATATCACTCAATGACATGACAGAGAGGTCAGTTTCAGGCTCAGAGGGCTTTCCTAGCCCTAACTCAGGCATGCAGGAGAAAAGAAAGGCTGGGATTTATGCCCTCTTTGTTCATCTGCATCACTGCTACCACTGCTGTGGCTTCCCATGCCATAGACAAGGCCAGGTAGAAGACAGCTCGAGCCATCCTGGTTTGTTTGGTAATCAGCTGGATGTGCTGAAACACAGTGGACTTTCTACCTTGCAGAGTGCACCCTGGGCACACTTCCATTTGCAAGGAACACTCCTGAAGCAATTGCTACGCTTGTGCTAGTGTTCCCAGCCATCACCTGCCTCCTGCAGGCATCAGCAAGTGAATTCAACTACAAAATGGAATCTCATCCATCAGGTAGTTTGTTTTAGCAGCACAGTTATCGTTCCTTTACTAACGAAAAGGGGGGCACTGTAGCAGCGATGATGAGGGTACATTTTAAAATCTCATCCAACGCTTCTTATATCATTTAGTCTGTTAAAAGCCTGCTGATAACTGCTATCTCACCTCACTTGCAAGAATCAGTAACCACACACATTCAAATCAAAGCACATACCAAAGGGGAAAGGCTCTGAAGCGCTACCCGCTTCAGGGCAAACACACGCACAGAAGCACAAGTCCATTTTTGAGTTGCTACAGAAGCCCATGCAAACCTCTGCTCTCCTGCTTACCTGTTGTACATATAGACATGTACTCTGCTGGCCTGAAGAGCAGAGTCAAGGTGCTGCTTGAGTGCTTCTGTTGTTAGTACATTAGCACCATCTTCCTGTGGAGTCTGAATCATGAGCTGCGGGTTAAACATGGCCTCCTCACCAATCTTCTGCCGCGTGTAATTTAACTCCCGGCTCACTCGTCCACCAACTGAAGAGCAAATAAGAACAGCCTTGTGTTAGTCCGTAACAAGTGAGGCTGGCTTCACATGATCAGCACTCTCCAGGCATAAAAACTTTACCTCGCTCATGGAATATTCCACCTCGAACTGATTACAATGTGACTCTAAAATGAGTATCAGATTTGTTTTAGTAACACTGCGACGGGAAAAAAAAATCCTGTTCCTTATTAAAGAACACCACTGTCCCAACTGCACTAGAACATTGATGTGTAAATTGGAGTTCCTTACGCACGTGGTTTTTCAACCAATATTCCATATGTAAAAATTAAAAAAAAAAAAGAAAAAAAGAAAAAAAAATAGAGAAACCCTTTCCTTGCAGACCAGACCAAATATTCCTATGTTACAATTTCTTACACTTGTATAAACAGTCTGGTCCAATAGTACATTTCAAGATAAATGGCTTCAATTTACACTCTTCTCCTAAATGATTTGGCAAAGGCAGAAGGGGAATGTTTCTCTTCATTTAAAAAGAGGGAGGAGGGAAAGAAAAGTGAGCATGTGTACTTCTCTGAACCGCAGGTAAAATTAAAAATATTAAGCTCTTATAAAGAAGTGCAGTTTCGAGTGCAGCAGAGCAGACTATTTACAGTTGTTTAACAATTTAGTGATTGGTACCTACATTATATGCTGTGATGCAGCATGATTATCACTCACATGCAGTCTAAACATTGTGCTCTGAATCAAAATATGGTTAACCAAAAAAAAAAAAAAAAGGCAGAAGACTCCAAGTCAGACAGGCTCTAGGGGGAGCCATATCCAATTTCCCTTGCCAGAGAAAGTTACATAAAAATGGAAAATTATCTTCCAGCTTGCAAAAAGGCATTCAGCTAGAGTTCATATACTTTACACAACCTCCCCTAAAGTCTTTCCAGCAAATGCATGTGGGAGGAGGTTCAATTAATCCAATCCATTAGCTGAATCAAGACCATATCCAGATGAGGAGGACAAGAACACCACCAACAAATTGTTTCCATCCCTTACAATTTATTGTTTTACCTTTATTGCTCTGCTAAGTCCAAGCCTAGAGACCTGGTCTAATTTGTTATGTTTTCGTCAATTCTAGTCACCCTGGCACTGGTGATCTGAATAACTAAGTTTAGATGTTTTGTGACATCTGTGAACAGAAATTAGACTTGCACACCTATCTCTTTATAGGCCTTATAGCTGACGACTTATCTGTGACTAGCTGGCAGTCCAAGGTGCTGGGTGATGTTCGCAAGCCTGTGAGCAACGCTGGGACTTGCTTTTTTCCGTGAGCTGGACTCTCCATTCACCTGTAATCCCGCTGGGGATAACAGAACCACCAGGAAAAAGCTGGGCCCTAACCAGCTGGGTAAAACTGTCAGAACCAGGTCCTCAAAAATTAAGCCACGCATTTATTCTTTTCTGAACCATTGCTTAATATCTAGTTCAAGAATTCTCTGAAGAAAAAGGCATCTACACCACACACTCCAACCATGTTCTCGGCCTGTCACATGCATTATTACCTCCTTCACCTTGTGTAACAGTGACCGGGTCACAAAAACAAAACATAAAAGGCAGGGTACACCTGGATTCCCCTTAGTACAGTGACAAGATATGTAATCAGTCAGACTCACGGCATATGCATCATAACAAAAAAAGCTAATGTTATGTTTTACCAAGCATTAATTCCCCACCAGACTGAACTCCATGATACATTTTGCTTGATCTTACAGGGGTGAGTGGGGTGAAGCATATAGATATCTTCATCTGCAAGTCTTGGAACATAACAACTACTTCTGAAAACAAACTGCTGCCCTCCCCATGTTTCAATGCCACCCAAGACAGTAAGGCCTCAATTCAAACAGGAGTTTTAGTACCTTTTCCTGGTACTACTGCAACCTTGGATCACCACAAAGGAGGCATTCCCATCTCTGCTGCAAGTGACCAACTGTTTACTATCAACAGAAATGATTGCTTCCTAATCAAGCCCTTGTCAAACTGTATTAACTTCACAGAACAAGGCAGATTTAGCCAATCAAAACTGCATGGCACAAGTCAGTTGTGAGAGGAGATGCTGTTTTCTCTCCTTTTACATTCGAAACAAGAATAACAAAAACATCCAAGAAAGTGGGCTCATGTTCCAGATCTCAACAATAGAGCTGCTGCACATTTTTCTTAAGGCATTCATTAGTCATTATTTCTGAGGGGTCCATTATGTACATTTCTTCTGCCAAAAACAGTAATTTCATAGGCTAAACCTAGATACTTTATACAACCTAACACTCATACACACAAAAAATATATAACCTTAGATTGCAGAGGAAAATTCTGACTGACTGCCAAAGACACTTTATGTGAAAATATATGGATGGACCAGAAGCAAGTGGATACATCAGTGGCCTCTCAGTATATCATAAACAATAAGAAGTAAAGAGAAAAACAAAAAAAAAAAAAAAACACCACTACCAAAGATTCTAACAATTATATACTCTTGCTGCTTTTAACTGAAAGCTTATGAAAACAATTGGAGGCTGCCATGCTCAAGGATCATAAGCCTCCAGTCAGCTGGATAAGCCCTTCTATTACGCAGGCACTCTTTTTATGCTTTTATTTAGTTATTTAAGATGTCCAAAACTGGTGGCAAAACCTGGAGAGAGACTACTAAAAACATCACCAAAATGTACCTGCAGCCTCACCCTGTGAACTGGAGATGAGCAATACCACTCACCTCACACTCAACAGCACGTCATCCCTTACACTTAAAAAAACAATATATATATGTTACATTCATCACAAGGTTTCCGTACTACAGGGCAACTGATGCAATGGAAACTATGACCAACCAAAGACAGAGTCTTTTGTGATTTTCTTTTACGGACCGTGTTTTCATATTTTTTTAAAACAAGAATATTTTACACTTAAAATTCTGCTGACTTTTAGATCCTATGATGGCATAGAGTATCAGCAGCCACTTCCTTCCATGCTGAAGACAGGTAGAGCTTCTCCATGTCAATGTCCTGGTGACAAAGCCTGCACAACACTCTCTTTTCCTGATGCACCAAGAGTGACCTGGCGGCCATACCACACAGTTCCTCATGATGTAGCACCTGGACAGCCAAGCTGGTGACACTCCTGCCCGCAAGCCAGATGCTTATTTGAACAGCAGACCAGGATAGGGGCACCATTCCTCACTTAATGTATCACTTTCTAGCACTCAGGAACATTTGTGAAGGCTTGTCTTCAGCATAAGGCAGCTTCACTGCCAGCATCTTTGTTGCAGAGAAATCAGTTCTTGTTAAAAGCCACCGAATGGCTTTTCCAGAGAAGAGGGAAGTCCTTTTTCTCCCGGATGCAGGACGGCCACAGCTCCCTTCTCAGCTCCTTGCCTGCCCATGGCAGAGCCGATCTGTGCCAGCAGGTCCCCATGACCATCAAACACAGCCCTGCGCCTCCTGCACTCCCCTCCTGCCCAGATGGGCTCCTACTTCAGCCTCCTAAACCTACAGCCCTTCTCCAGGGCTGCAGCTCCAGCAACTGCCCTTGGTGCAGGAACAGGCTGCCCTTGGGAACTGGCTGCCCAGAGAGGCTGTGGAGTCTCCTTCTCTGGAGATCTTCCGAACCTGCCTGGATGCCACCCTGTGCCACGTGCTCTGGGTGACCCTGCTGGAGCAGGCAGGTTGGAGTGGATGATCTCTAGAGGTGCCTTCCAACCTCAACCAGTCTGTGATTCTGTAATGTCAGTGGGGACTCTGGCCTGACCAGCTCATCTCCCTCCTGTCTGTACAACCAGCAACTGTGAGGCAGTAACGAGTCCTTCACTTAGGACACACCTGAACGGGCGCCCTAAGGGTGAAGGGCTGTGCATCCTGTCACGGAGCGTTCATGTCTTCGTGGTCACACGATGAAGTGCTTGCAGTGCCTCTTCTCAATTAAGAGTGAGTGAGGAGCAATCAGGAAACCAGAGCTGCCCACCTCCCATATACATTTTCACAACACAGCTGCACCTTCCCCAATAACGAAAGTGTGAAACTTGACTTGTTTTCATTGGCGCAGTTTCTGACTCTTAGATTTCCACTGCCTTACTAACAATTTTGAAGTTATTAGGTTATTCCATTCATACACTCATTTCTACCTCAAATGTCACTCTTACCCATATGAACTTTCTCAAAATTAGCATTCGATATTTGCCTGATATTACATTAACATGCAATTAAATTACATTAACAGTTCCTTCCTTGTAAGGAACTCTGGAACATACCACTTCTGTACAGAATATCTTTAGGAATAAATTTGACCTCTGCTACACTAACAAATTTTGATCCCAAATCAGGCAGTGAATGACAGCCAAAAATCACTGCTTGTTAATTTGCTGTCCAGTTGTTCTAAAGGCATAAAGTATTTCTTTTTCCAGATATCTTACAATATTCCATTTCAAATTACTGGAATTGCAGTGTATAGCCCCAGGTTTTGTTGTTTTTTCAGATATGAACACTACCTTTATTAACTATTCAATAGCTACCTTGTGTGGAACTGCACTACAAATAGCACAGAGCGAGACCTCTCTAAAATAAGAACATTCCTGGGAGCTTTTATTCCACTTGAAATAAAAATGTTTCTCTACTGAGCAGAGGACAGAATTTGAGAAACCAGAGCAGAGCTTCCGGAACTACCTACTGGTTTTGGAGCTTCAGTTTTTGTATGACCAGTCTGTGGTGCCTGAATGCAGCAAAGTTTTCAGGAGAAAGTCTCTCCTAAAGACTGTGTTTCTGTTTGAACATGTGAGGAAGAATAAATATGATCAACAAGGATTTTTTTTTTTAAGACGTTACAAACATGTATCATTACAGCAGTCTGGTCAACATTTTCATGCTGACAGCTCAAAGCACTGGACACCTCACACTTTGTATTTTCTTTTTTCCAAAAGATATTTTTTGACATATCAAACAGGCAGATGAGCCCTTTGCAATGCTTCCATTACTGCTTGAGCAATACCC